CTTTCTTCGACAGATCCTGAAACAGATTGAAAATATTTCACCCAGGGGAGACATGATTACTAGTAGCTGAAAACTGACTAAATGTAGACTGTCTACACCTTCGAAAAGAAGCAAGTTTCATACTCTATTAAAAGAGGGTCTCTCCACTTATACAGTACTTACATTCTTTTCCTCAGTGGTTCAATTTATAATGTTTACCTTGGAACACAGCAAAATTACTATGTAGAATCACGTGACTTCTTGCTAAGGTGACCTTGACCATGACAAGCAATGACAGACTGTGTGTTGCTTCAGCACCAGTAACTTTGAGATCAAAGAGACAGTGCAAGATGGGACATAAACCAGCAGTCAGTGAGGAATAAAGGAATGTGGAGGAAGATACTATAGTCTGTGTCCAACGAGCATCAGCTGTTAATTTCAAGTGTTTGTTCTTGCAAGAGGTTTCATCAACTTTGATCTGTAATAAATTACCGCCTAATTACAAAGATTCAAATAGAGATGGTAGAAATGTTACCCTAGAAACTATGCAGTATATATATATATATATATACAGACACAATCAGCCATGACTGCATTTCTCAGCATATAAAAAATAAACAGCTTCTACTGCACTACTCTGTACATGTCTTGGAGATGTACATGTACACTCTTGTTCCCTGAATATTTCTTGTCCAGATTTCAAATAAAAAGTACATGGTCTGAATTGTAATAGTAAATCATGGAAGCTTTTAGCTCCAGGTATCCTTCAGTTCCAAATAGCATCCTGAATGACATTGCTACCTGCTGAAGAAAGAATACCGCAGATGAAGACAAATAATAATATGAACCAGATTATACTTAAAATAAGGTTTACATATATGCATATGTAAACAAAGGTATTTCAATTGATAACCCATGAGTCTGATCAGCATGATGTGTAATAATCCCAATATCAGTGTCTCAGCACCCCTGCCAGATCATTCAGCTGTTCAATAGCCAACCAGCTGTTCATTAATTTTAACAGAAGCTGAAAGGAACAGGAGAAACACAAAACAGCACAAATTTATGAACAAAATTCAATAAAGATCAACGATCCTACAATTTGTTCTAATATTTGGAAACATTGCAAAATGAATTTTGCCAAGATCATTACAGTGCTTAAATACAGTATTCCAGAAAGCTTTCAAAACAATTCTAACAAAATTGTTGAAAGCGGCATTCGTTCCAGCCTGAAGCTCCTAGAAGAACCATTTATTCCCATGGCAGATATTAGAAGGTGTATGATCTGTATTTAAAAAAACAGGTTATTTCAACTTACATTAAATTGGCATGATTGATCAGCTTGGTTGTACAGTTTAAAAGCCAAAATGCAAGTTTTAAATTTTACAAAGCCAAACCAAAAATAGGATTATATGACATTTTTATTGGAGTTGCTTATGAGAATGAATTCTTTAGTATTGATTTTAATCATGAAACCATGTCTTTCACTCATCCTATTTTGCGTTCTCTCATCTTTAGTGTCAATCTAATTAACAAATTCACCCGGACTAATTGCATAGTGAATTGTGGCCTCTTAGACCCCTTGTGGTTTTTCCAACTGATGAGGGGTGGATTCTCTATCTATTCTCTTGTACATTTAAGTTATTTCTGTATTGACTAACTTTCCATCTCAAATTTTTTCCTCTCATTCAGCAGATAAGGCAGCAGTGAATTGGATAGTATTGATTCATGGCTTTGTGCTTCAGACCAAGTGCTCAGCAAACAACCAAATCAACGTTTCACTCAAACTTTCAGGATGTTGTCTCACAAACCTTCAGGATATTGTCTCACTCTTCATGGAGGAGGAAATTAAGTTGTTAAATAAACTTAATGGGTGCTCAGTGTCCAGTGTGATAATTGTGTAGAATTTATTCAATCCTAACTGAAAGAAAGGGCAATGTATTTAATAGATGGAGAAAAGTTGGAGACAGCACATGTGGCAATGTCATAAGGAATGCAAATAGAGTATTTGGCTTTATGTCCAAAGGAGTTTATTTCGCCAGAATTGAGATTATTGGCAAGGGACTTACTAGGGGTGTTTGAGAATATTGAAAGGATTTGATAAGGTAATTATCTGCACTTGTCCAAAATGAGAATACATAATAATATAATAATAATCCTTGCATTTGATATAGCGCTTTTGCCGTCTTCTAGGTGTCTCAAAAGCGTTTCACAGAATATACTGTAAAGTAAATTGATTGTGCATTTGTGGGCGAAACGCAGCAGCCAATTGTTCACAGCAGTGTCCCACAAACAGTCGTGGATTTAAATGACCAATTTATTATTGTTTTTTTTCTTGAGGGATTATTATTATGTAACATACAGGTACATATGAGATAGCTGGTAGTAGATCCAATAGGGAGCACAAGAGGAATGTCTTCATGCATATGGTAGTGAGAATGTGGAACTGACTTTTGGAAGCTGTGGCTGAATCAAAAAGCGTTGATGTATTTAAGGGAATGTGTGAGGGAGAAGGGAATAGAAAGTTGTAGGAAAGGGGAATAAGACAGGTAGGGGCTCACGAGGAGTATAAACGCCATCACGGACTAGTTGGACAGAATGGTTATTTTCCTTGTGTATCTATGTTATTCTGTATAAGAACGATAAGTAGAGGGGAAAAGAGGGCCATTGAAATATTTTTTCCAAATATTAATATAACATTTTTATAAGAATACAACCAAATAATATAAATAAAATATATTTGGTTGGAAAACAGAGTTCCGTCTCCCCAAATCCAGATTTGAACTTGGCAATATAATAATAAGGCAATATGGCAAAGACACTGCTGGTAGAATAATTAAAAGAGTGGTCTATAATTTACAGTCATACTTTACATAAGCAGTGTAATGAATTTTCAATTAGTAAAGATATTATTGTTGAATTTCTTACTCCTCTGTGAATGAAAACTGCCAGCTGAGTTATTGGATGGCTTCCTATCTAACGCTGTATTGAAACAATTTATGAAGAAGCAAAGTGCGTTACTGGAGAGCTCTTTATGGAACAAATGATACAAAGAGCTATTGCACAATCTCCCTCTCAGTGTGTTGCAAAAATATATAATAGGCAACAGGGGATTATGTGTATGATGATCTGAACAGTCATAACTGTTCTTTCTTATGGTGTGATTTTCTCTTTTGGTGTTAATTATGGACCAAAAATTGACAATATACTGTATAAAGTTTGCAAAAGCTTCTATTTAGCAAGTCACCTGGACACCTGAGTGATCACTGCATTCATGATAAAGAGGAGCTATTTGAGTGGAAGACTAATACGTTTAGAAAATACGGTTTAACCTTTTCCTTTTTATCAAAATGCTGAAAACCTAGCTATTACTTTGGCCCTAATGGCCATTTTTTCATCCAAAAGAAGCACAAAACTCTTAAGATTGGCAAGCCCATATCGTGGTTTTCATTAGGTCAATCTTTAATGTAAAACCATGGAGAGGGAGCTGTTGATCTGCAAACTTGTCAATGATACTTTGAAAGGATTAGCTGTGGAGGTTCATGTCTTAGAAATAGCAGTGAGATTAAAGCAGCTCTTCTTTGAATTAGATAAACATACATGTCCAAACACACTCAATGAGGTACAACAATCTTCAATCTTTTCCATTATAGATATCATAAAAATTGCAGGAAAATAACATCTTGTATGCTGAAATAGAGCTCCATGAACCAATCATTCCCATCCTCCCCTAGCTCCCCTGGCTCCCTATCCCCAGAGGACAGAGTTCAAAATCCTCAATAATAATAATCCTTGCTTTCAAGTCTTGCTCCTCCCTAGCCCTGTGACCTGCTAACTCCATACTGTCCTCTCTCCGCTCCCACCATTCAGTGGACTCTGGTTTGCTCCGAGTCCCCCGCCCTACCCCGACCTTCAGGCTTTTTGCCCCACCTTTTGGAACTCCATCCACTTTGCCTCGCCCGCCCCCATCCCGGCCTTCTTCAAGGCCCATCTCAAGACCCTCCTCTTCGACCGTGCGTTCGGTCACTTTCCTCCCTCTAACTCTCCCCGCCCTCCACCTATCCTGATCTCCACCACCAGCTCGGGCGCAGATTCCTGACCTTGGGACGGTCCTCTTGACGGGAAAGGCGCCGCCGCACCAATGGAAGTCGTTGTTGTTTTGTTCTCGAAGGCGCGATAAGGCGCCGTATCAAATGCGAGGATTATTATTATTATATTATTATTATTATACATCACTAACAATAATAGCAATTTTTGTTGTTGTTGTTGTTGTTGCTGCTGTCGAGGCGGGGGGCGGGGCGCTGGGCGCTGGGGGCGGGGCGCTGGGCGCTGGGGGCGGGGCGCTGGGGGCGGGGCGCCGGGCGGGCGCGCGCGCGCGTACGTGCTCTGGCGCCTGCCTTCGCGCGCGGTTGTCACGGCGACGCTGTCAATCAGATGACGCACCGGAGTTTCCGGTGCGCGGCGCTCGGCGGCGGCGGCGGCGGCTTTGTGGTGAGTGTCGGCCCAGCGCCTGAGCGGGGGGTTGTGCTTATCGGCCATATTTCCCCATATACGGTCAAGGAGAAGTAAGTGTGGCGGCGGCGGCGACGACGACAGCAGCAGCAGCAAAATCAACGATCCGGAGAAGCGGGGCGTTGTGACGGGGACGGGGTGGGGAGAAGAAGAGAAGAGAAGCGACATTGTACAGTGGGGCGGCAGCAGCAGCAGCAGGAAGAGGAGAGAGAGAGAGAGAGAGAGAGAGAGAGAGAAGACCCTGGAATGTGCGCCACCACCGGCTTCACACACTTTTAATCCTGAGAGAGGACGTCGAGCGAGGTTTCACTGAGAGGGGAAAATATCCCCTCCTCCTCCTCCCCCCTCCCCCCCCCCAGGAGTATGAACAACGACGCCCTCGAGACGACCGACGAGCTCACTTCCCGCCGCTGGGCTTTAAGTTTGTCTTTTGCAGAGGAAAGTCGAGATTTATTTTCGGGGGGAAAGAGCAATAATAATATGACCAGTTAGTTGGGCCTGACTGAGTCTGTTAAGAAGTGCAGCTTCCCTCTACCCTCTACCCTCTGTCCCCCCCCCCACTCCCCCCTCCTCCTCTCTCCTTTTTTTTTCCTCCTCTCCTTTGCGGTTTATACTTCTCGAGCCCGAAACATGTCCGTTTTTTTTTAACGTGAAATAGATCACCGCTCTCTGGATCCGTTGTGTTTGGAGCCGAGGAAGGCACTCGCTCGAATAGTTCAGTGGTTCCTTTTGAAGAGAATCGTTTTTTTGAAAGGGGAGGGGGCGGGGAGGGGGGGAGTGGGACAAACACTGATAAAATGTCAGCGAAGGTTCGCCTGAAGAAGTTGGAGCAGTTGCTCCTGAACGCATCTCAGAAGAATGAAAGTTCAATGAGTGTGGAGACTTTGATGGATATTTTGATCTGTTTATACAACGAATGTAGCACCTCGCCTTTAAGACGGGAAAAATATATTGCAGAATTCCTGGAATGGGGTATGTACTTTCAACTGCGCCCAGTTTTATGAAACCACTGATGTGTTTACTTTTGCACACTAGGTTGGGCTATGGCGATTTCGGTCGTATATTAAAGTTGCATGTTATTATTCTTACCCAATTTTAGGATTGATCAAAAGCATGGGTAATGATTATTTAGTTCCTGCATAAGAAGAGCCGAAGAATGCAGATATGCGTTTTTTTTTCCAGTGGGAATTGTGTTTATACTCTTTAACAGTTCATGAATGTTACCTTAAAAAGTCAATGTGCGATAAGCTAAAAAACCAAAAGCCTGTGCCAGAAAATCCACTTGTTCGACCATGATGTGTGGAAACTTGTTTTGATTTAAAGTGTCCAATCTTTGTTTTTTTTAAAAAAATCGAAGGTGGGCCTGTCTACTGCTGCTAGAATTGTTGCATGTTGGTGTTGACAGAGTTGCGGCCATTGCTTAATTGTACATATAGGTTTTACATTTTCAAATCAGCAGGTGGACTGGTGATGGGATGGATGAAAGAATTGCAATGTTTTCTTGCTACCATAAGTTTAACCATCATCATTTCTTAATATGCCCCTTTCTGGAAGATGGCCATGGGAGTGGGTTATGGAGACTGGAATAAGATTATTTAAACCCGAACAGAAATCACTCTTTTTCACTTTTATGAAACATTTGGTTTTCGTTTTAAGCAGATCTGATTCTATTTTATATTAACCAAACTAAGAGGATTCACTTCTTGGAGTGTTTCTTTGATGTCATTAATAAGATTAGCTACTGCATTGTCAGTCTATCGTCTGGTGTGGAGAAATTAAGTAATAGGTATTTCCTGCCATGCAGTATGTTTGCGAGATTTTTTATTGTCCAGTGCATAGCCATTTCAGTTTAACAGTTTGCCATTGTGATAATTTGGCAACTTTTAACCGGCATGCCATTTCCAGATGACTATCTTCAGTGGTGTCTCAGATCTCACATTGATCTTGCACTGCCTATTATAATTGTCAGGGATTGGTTGTTAATCCACATTGTATATTCAGCCTTTAATTATTTCATCATTTTAATTCTGTAATTATTGACTTTGAAGAAAACCCTACAAAAGCTATTCACTAATAGTGCTTGTACCTTTATTTATTCCATACAATATCCCCCCAGCTCTCTTCCCCCTCAGCTGGGCACCTAGTCAACTTATCCCTCAACTCTGGTACCTGTCTGAAGTGCTCTGAGACTTTGTCACTTTGTGAGAGATGGTACTATTTATGAATGTAAATTGTTGTTGACTTTTGTTTGGTAGGCCCACTGAAGCGCTAGATCCTGCAAATGTTTTATCATGGACAATAATTACACTAAGTTAAGTTGCACTATTTATAGAGATGTCCTCTTTTTATGGCAGCCTTTTGGTGTACATTCTTTTTATTGTATAAATCGACCCTAGCAAAAGTTTAGAAGCTTTTCTAAAGAGCTTATTGGATATCTGCTACATTTTCCTTCACCCTTAAGATCTGCTATGAATTCAGTGAAAAGCTAACTTAAAAATCCATTGCTTGTTTCCATGTACATATGCTAACCTGCTTATTGTTGCTTCTTTTAAATAAAGACATAGTACTTTGTGCATGCATATGTCCTTAGATCTAAATTCAAATCCAGAAGCAACATTTCATCAGCGTTTATTCCTTTGACTAATTCTAACAAAAAATATAGGAATTTATGTTGAATTATATACTTAAAAAAAGTTGTGGGGCTGATAGCGAAGGATTTTAGTCTTTTTGACTACTTTAGGGTGCTCCCCCAACAAATAAATTTGAAATGTACTCTTTTTTTCGAAGATAAATTAAGTTTTGAGTCCTCCCCCCCCCCACCCCCACACCCAACCAACTGGCTCCTGATTCTGATATATGGATCTCTTTCATTTAGTCAACTGTATTTTAAAGATTTGCTTTCAGTTGTAGATGGCTATTTCTGTATGTGGCTGTGCATTATAGTAGTTAGTATACATTAGGATTGAGAAATTAAATACCTTTTCAAAACAATTTCAGTACTGTTTCCTGGACCATAAATTCTAGACTATGTGAACTATGCCCTCATATTGTCTACTAATCTTTACAATTCCAATGAAAGAATCATCCAAATTGTGAGAAGCCAAAGTTCTGCTGGGCTTAAATTGGCTTAATCTGAATCTTAAAAGAAAACTGCATTCTGCTGCTGAATTCAAATGATAGATTTACTCTACCTTATATTTGTAAACTATCTAGTTATTGTGATAGATACATTAATCAATTTGTTTTCCATTTACTTTGCTGCTTTACTTAAACTAAAACTTTAGATTCGGAGAAACTAATTGTATTGTTCCCTAATTGCACTAATTTAGTACAGCAATGTTTCTTTCCACCCCTATTTTATAGTAAGTCCTTTAGGTTTCTTGTTTGGCATGATCAACATCTCTTATGTTCTTCCTATTAGTATTTTCATTTTACCCTAACTCACTATTTTGAAATGAAAATTATGGAAATGTCTGCTAGATATCTGGTTAGTAAAAGATGATTTCCATATTGATGAGTGCCATATTTGCCAGGGTTGTTTCAAAAGAACACCAGCTGCATATTAAAAAAACAAATTTTGTGTAAATAAATTGATCAGATGATGACTACAGCAAACCTTGTGAACTATTTATATAGTTGTAATTTGAACTGCTATTCAACTGGTCTTGTGTTGTCTGAAGTTTACTTTGGGGAGTGCCATTTGTACAGTGGAGATTTAAAGAGTTATAACACGACTTTTACCCCTAGTGGGTGAAGACACAGCCGAGTTTAGCACCAAGCCATAAGAATATCTCTGGTTTGATTTACAGGCTACCAAACTAGCCAGTTCTTAGGCTAGGAGAAGAGAAAATCAGTCACAATTCCCACTTCTGATTACTAATGGAAAGCAACTACTTAAAACAACTTCCAACTACTGGAAAGCAAGTGAATGCCTTCAAGTTGGTAGCTTGCAGACAAATAGGCTTGCAGACTAGGCTCAAATGTGAAGAATTTGTCACCTGAGGCACTTTGTGGAATCGTGCACTAACTTGAGTTTTTGCCTTTAGGAGGAGAAGAGAGAAAATAGCCTAAAAAATATTTGAATTATGGTTTGACACAGGGGCACGGTTACATGCTTAATTACTCGGCTTGTGGCTGAAAAAGGTTATACTGTGTTTGCACATCAGTATTTTCTTAGCTGAAATGAGCATTTTGGATTGCTCTTTGCTTACAGTATGTATCTGATGATGTTTACTGTTGAACTATAATTGTAGATTTTTGTCTCAGATATTCAAATGTTTTGCATTTTGCATATCATACAGTGACTGTTCAATATTTTCTGTCAGCTTCTATATATATATATAAAATTTCCTTAAGTTAAATTAAAGTCTCCATGTAATTTTTAAAAATAAAATTACTTCCAAGGAATTCAAATTCGGAACTATTTCAACTAGGGTTACATTGAAAAGGAATGTGATTTAAGAAAAAAATGACCTACATTTGTTCTATAAATATTGTAAGCATGTGCTTAAATTATTTTAAATATCCCTATGTGACTATGCTTATTTATCTTCATCAATCTTGTTACCAGTACAAATCTGTTTTGTAGATCAATAAATCCTAGATGACAAAAATACAATTCAATACTTGTATTAATTAAAATTAAATGACAAAAGTTGCATCAAAGATGAACTTGTCTCGAATTCAGTGCTACAACAATGGTGGATTAATTCAGTTTAATCTGTGATCATAAAATAAGTAAGTCTGTTTAATACCGTAACCCAACTGTACATTATTTGTGTTTTATTCAGAGGTTTGATGGAATTGGTACACTTTGGGTATGTTTGTAGAAGTCAGCAGTTCAGGGGAAGCTTGTCACTCTCCCAACTACTGTCTCCTTTTAGGTTTCTGGTGGAGTGCTTTCATATGCTGAGCTGTAGGAGTCTTGGCAATGAGTGGCAGCTGTTGAAGGATAATGGATTCACCCATAGTGGTGGTGGGTTAGATGTATTGCTTTTACTCAAACCTGCTGTAGCATTACTTAAGAGACTATACCAGTCCCTGGCTTTTAATTTTTAATTGCAAAGCGACCACTCCTTCGGTAGGCCTGACATGTAGTTTAATTGCACTTCATATTGTTAGATTACAGGAAAACACTCCTTTCTTTATGATTCATACATTTAGTCAGATCTATGACGCACCAAGCAAAATAATCTTAACTGTTGTAAAATAAAACCAATCTAGCTTAATGCCTTATAAGGCATGATTTATATATATATATAGAGAGAGAGAGAGAATATAATGTAGTATTATTATGGAATATATTTAAGGTCTCTAGCACATAAATAAGCACAAAACTTTAACAGTTAAAGGCTATTCATGATTTGCATCACAAAGTTAAGTCCTTCATGCCCCAATATTACAAGGGCAAAGGTTATCAGTCACTGAACAACTTTTGAAATCTTATCATGATAGAAACATTTAATTTGTGGAATAGTTTTCACCGTTATTAAATAACAGCAATATTTATTACAGTGGCAATTATTAAATATAGTTAATTTATTTGAAAAATAATAGTTTTTCTGGAATTCTGACAAAGTAACACTAATGTCACCTGGTTAGTGGTGCTCCGTCTTTTGTGTTCAACACCGAGTATGAGAAAACCTTTGGTACAAAATTCTGAAGCCACCTGACCTTACCATACATTTCTTGTGTATTTATAATTTCTTGTGTTAATAATGCAGCTTTGTGTGGATGTAGAGTTCTCACAGCAATTTATATGTTTAGTGTTTCATAGCTCTGTGAATGTCAACACACATGCTATGCACCCCCACAACTAAGTGGTTAGTTTAGAATTGTTCTACAATCTTTGAGGATATTCCATCCATCAGTATTAAAGAATTGGTGTTAATTTTTTGTCACTTGTGTACTAATTATCAATCATTCAGTATTCTGTTTATCATGTGTTTAAAACACGTAACTTTTTTGTATTT